TTGACATAAAAAAGATTGTGCACGTGTACATTGTGATGCCATTATATTAGACAAATGATGATTTTTTTGTCACTTTTTGTCATGTGTACATGGCCCCACCATCACGTGTACAAGTGCTTCTAGAGAACATCCACATTCACTTTCACAACCTGTCCTGCAGCCTTTCCACTAGTGCAGGTATTTACCAATGATAATGGAGGCTGGCAAGCAGTAGTATCAGAAGGGGATGCATATCCCTGTCTTAATGACACCTTCATTCAGGCAGCTTTAGTCTCTTAACTGTCTTGTTCAAGGATATTGGCACTGTCTTTATGCTCTTTTAAATCAGTTCCTGATAAGGCAGAACTACTTCCAGTTTAACTTTTCCCTTGAACATCCCACTTCACAAATGGCCCTGAATATCTGTCCATTGAAAGCTTTCACTTTCTGGTACAGCTTTTTCTCCTTGGTGAAAGCCCTTTTGCTAACCAGAACATCTAAATCCTTCATTATTCCAGAGCAGCCTTGTGCTGCTTTAAATGCACAAAACTGTGATGTAAAAGTTCCCAGAGCCCGAAAGAGATTTCTAGCTTTTAGTCCCTTCTTCTGTCCGTATGCCACTCTCCCCTCCATGAAAAAACCCTTGTCATTGCTTTGGCAGATCATGTCTATTCTAATGATCTTGTCCATATACTCTGCTACTCTCTAGCCCACTTTGTATATCACTATGGAGAAAACAAGTGTTTTGTGAAGGAACACATATTGGCTATCAGAGTCACCTTTGCTTTCCTAAACAGAGATTTCTGGCTCATGAATTCCTACATACTTGTCCATTGAGGAAATTAAACAACCTTCTATCCGCCACTAAAAAGATAGTTACAACAAAATCTTCCTTTTGGCAGTGATGATTTGGGGATTTTGAACAGAAGTATCTTTGCCTCCTGTTCTTGAGGCTGTGGTAATATCTGTCTTCCCAGCTGCAGCAGTTCTGGAAAAATGGAGCCTGAAACCCTTGTTCTTCAAGGGTATTAGCCAGTCTGGGGTATTGTCCTCGGACTGATGTATCCTGATAGTACCTGCCAAGCTTCCTTGACCCTGCTCCCTATAAGCCTGCTTCCTACTTTGTAACACTTTTGAGTGGAGCTGAAACAAGGATTTGGGGTAGTTCTTCTGGTGCCCAAGATGTAGGAAAAAACAGCTTCAATATTGCTGAATTCACAGTGACTCCACTGCTGCCAGCTGTCAGACCCCATTAATCCAGCAACGAGTTCCTATGTTGATGCCTCAAGATCTAGGACCCACTCCTTCATGGCCTTGAGCTCTAAAACTGTGTTCTGCTCACTCTCTCTGTCAGTTGAAGGGAGCAGTTTTCTTGAGTCGATGTGGCACATGGAGCACTAATGTCCAGTACTGCTTACCCTGGAATATTTTAAATTTTCTTTGTCAGTGTTTAGGAAAGGCCTCAAAGATCATGAATTCATCTGGAAATCCCACAGATTGACTCAATCCTCCTCTTCTATCTTCTGGTACAGCCAACATTTGAGCCTTTAGATAAGATTACTAACTTCAAGATGAAGGAAAAAAGAATGTTTTCTTCCTTCCTTAACCTAAGCAAGGTGTGTGTATTGGTCAAACTCTCTAGTTTTTTCTTGACCTTAGTCTCCTATCTAGATAGATACTTCATTTTGTTGTTTTATCCCGAAGGGGACACTGAATAATACCTGGATTAAACACATTGTCCTTTTATTCTCTGTTAAAACCATTTATCTTCTCCTCACCACAATCCCTCTTTCTTAAGGGAGAAGCAAATTAATGCAACTCTCTATCTGCTTTGAGGGTTGCATGAGTGTGGCTTTGGCTAAACCTACTCCAGTCGCATGGATTTGAGGCTGTATTCTCACAGTGATGAACCAATTAGATGCTGTTTGGCTACAGAGGTTGTATTTTCATAGGCAGTGCATGAAGGGCTATGAGATCTCCAAACATATGTAGGCACCTATGTCCTATTGAAATTAAGGATACTAACAAAATGCTTTTGTGGACTTCTCAGCTTCCAAGATATGTGAACCAGCAGCATCGCCTCACTCCATTATGTCACTGTCAGGTAGGCCACTGCTTCTCATTATGGCTTCTTTCACCGCAGGGCCTGGCTGGCAGAATGTGGCAGCCTTGCTTCTTGGAGCTCCTGTTTGACAATATTGTCTGCTTTTGATTCAGTCTGGTAGAAGAAACAGTTGTACCTACTTTCTTCTGTTCTCCCACTTGGGTAGTGTCTTGCTGCTGACTTATTTTTCATACTAGCTTGTATACTGTTTCTTTTTTATAGCTGTGGAAATTTTCTCACTGGAGAGGGAGTGAATTCTGGGTCAAGCTTATATAATAACCAGGTGTAGGGTTTCAGAGCTTCTCTTGTTAGCATAATGCACTCTGTCCCTTACTTTGCTGCCCATGAAGTGAAAAAAGACTGTTGTGCAGAAATATCTGAGACCATACATTCTTCAAATGTAAGTAAAAGGAAAGTCTGAGTACTTCAGTATTAAATTACAATGCATCAATTTACACTGAATTTACAATGATCACAGATATCAATTGTATATTTTAAAATGAAAGCACTAGAATTCTTAATTTAAAGTAACCATCTGTTTTCATATAAAAATATTACAGCTTTATATTGCTTAGTACTTCTTTCATTTTAATTTAGCTGTGGTTGCCTGGCAGTCAGTTTCTACATATTTCAAAACTACCCCTTCAGAAAATTGTTACTGATGGACTTTTAAAATTTTTATTTTTAAAATGCCTATGCCTCTGTGTGTGGGTGTGATAGAGAAAGTGTTGAACACTAGGGAAAGCATTGTCAAGACTTGATACTGGTGAAGACTGGAGGGTTTTTAAATGTTATTGATTTACCTTTGGGACAGAGAACACAGCCTGATAGTGTGAACTTTGTTAAGGGCTACTACACCTGTGTACATGGCAGATAGATGAATGAATGCCTGAAAGAAGCTGCCATCCACATCCTCTCTCACTCCATCAGCAGTGCCACTAGCGCTGCCCTGTGTGTATTTTGACACTGAGCCCACCATTTTTCACTCGTGGGGGGCTGAAATGCTAGCAAAACAAGGAGATTTTAGGTCATATCTGGCCAACCACATGCTCAAATCAGCAGCCAAAGGCTCTGTCGCCAGGGCCCTCCTCCACGGGGAGCTGTTTCAGTGCCCTCCATAAGTCCATTCTTCACAATCTCCGTCAATGTGTGGCCTAACTGGCAAAGACACGCCGAGAACCGCTCGGCTCCAGTGCATCCCGCCGCGGAGCGGAGAAACGCGGGGGCGGGACTGGATTGTACTGTCTGCTTGGGTGAGACCCAGCACAATGCAGCGCTAGTCGGTGCCTGCATAACAGCTGCTACTCCGAGCTCAAAGGCAGCCTGAGCCTGCAATGGTGTCCCCCCGCCTGGAAATCCTCCCGCCGCTTGAAATGCGAATGAAGAGGGTTTCTCGTCCCCCGCCTCGCACGCCCGTGAGCCCCGGGCCAGGGAGTACCCGCCCCTGGCTCGCCCGGCGGCTTCCGCACCGGCCTTGTCACAACCGCGCGGAGAAGCCGCACGTGGCTCAGGAGCTTCATGAGGAAAGAAGTCGGGGCGGTGGGGGGTGGGGACTGGTCTCCGGGCGAGGCCGGGGATGCACCTCACCGGCATCTCCTCAGCGCCGCTTCCCCGCCCCCTTCCTCCGCAGCGCCTCCTCCACCTGCTCCCGCCGGGCCGGGCCGGGCCCGGGGCGACCTGCTCCCGCCCCCACGCCAGGCTGGGTCCCTTCACCTCAGCGACAGCGCGGCGCGACGGCAGTACCTGGCTGGGGCAGCGGCTGCCGCTCCATTGTCCGCGGAAGGAGGCCGCGCTTCAGGCCCCGCCCCCGGGCCCCGCCATTGGCTGCGGTGCAGCGTCCGGGGCTAGCGGCCGCGCGTTAAATGGGGCTCTCGGGCGCCAGCGCTGCCCATTAACACTAGCGGTGACAGCGGCGCGGGGTGGGCGGCGGCCGCCGATGGGGGGAGGGTGGCGG